GTTCGAAGTTGAGAATTTTTAAAGATTATGGAATATGATCTATTCTAATTTTCTGTGATAAATGATAATTCGATATTTTTATATAATAGATCATATTTAATTTCCTGTTTTAATTTCTTGTAGTAAATGGTAATATTTTTGTATTATATTATTTAATATTTTTTGATAAAGGCTATATGAACAGAAATTTATTATACGCGTTATATTATCATGAAATTGAAATTACCGAATGTTTATTAAATTTCTTTCGAAATTTTCATTCAGTACTGAATATATAATTCTCTTCAACGAGTCGAAGCTTATCTCGTAAATTTCAATATACGCCACTGAAGAAGCAGTATGATGTGGAACTTTATTACAGTTTGCGTCATTGAAACCTTTAAATTTTATTCTTAAACAGCTTCAAACATTTATTATGTACGTGCTCCTTCAAAATTTTTCTTTACCAAGTGCCTGTCTCTTTAACCAAAACCAGCTACACGCGGGTCTTAAATTTCAATATAAAGGATTGAAGGAGTAATGGTTCATACTAGCTCAAACCGTTATTTCTGATTCAAAATATTTTTTCATTAAATATTAAGACGTCAGTTTCTTTAAATTGATCTAATGTATTTTATCCGAACCTTAGAAATCTCACTGAAAAGTCACTGAAGCCATAAGGAAACACAATTTCATATTACAATCAACATTATCAAACTTTCCCTTTCCCTTCAAACAATCTCAAACATTAAAATACTCCAAATTTCCCTTTGCCTTCGAAATCTCAATACAAATCACTGGATTAATAATAAAATACGCTATTTCGTTCACTATGAACATTATCAAACCTCCATTTCCTATTCTCAAACAATTTCAAACATTTAAAATCTTAAAATTCTTTCCTACGTTATGAATCTCATTATTAGACACTGATTCGGCAATAAAGTATACAGTTTCACTTCATTTCACCTTCTTCAAACAATCTCAAACACATAAACTCTAAAAATTTCCCTCTACCTTTCAAATCTTAACAGATCATCAAAGGAATAATAAAACACAATTCCATTTCATACTCAACGTCATCAAACATTCACATTATCTTTCAAACTACCTCAAATCTTCACCTTCCATCTGCAAACAATCTCAAACTCTAAAAATTCTTCTCTACCTTACAAATCTGTATAAACCATTCAACCAGCAACAAAACACAAATCCATTTCACACTCGATACCATCAAACCTCCAAATTATCTTTCAAACCACCTCAAACCTTCATCTTTCATCTGCAAACAATCTCAAACTCTAAAAATTCTACTGTAGCTTACACATCTGTATAAACCACCAAACCAATAACAAAACCCAGTTTCATTTCTCATTCGACACTATCAAACCTCCACTTTACCTCTCAAACCACCAACTCTAGCTTACAAATCTGTATAAACCACCAAACCAACAACAAAACCCAGTTTCATTTCTCATTCGACACTATCAAACCTCCACTTTACCTCTCAAACCACCTCAAACCTTCATCTCCCATGTCCAAACAATCTCAAACTTTAAGAATTGCTCTCTACCATACGAATCTCTATAAATCACCAAACAAACAACAAAACCCAATTTCATTTCTCATTTGACACCATCAAACCTCCACCTTACCTCTCAAACCACCTCAAACCTTCACCTTCCATGTCCAAACAATCTCAAACTTTAAGAATTGCTCTCTACCATACGAATCTCTATAAATCATCAAACAAACAACAAAACCCAATTTCATTTCTCATTTGACACCATCAAACCTCCACCTTACCTCTCAAACCACCTCAAACCTTCACCTTCCATGTCCAAACAATCTCAAACTTTAAGAATTGCTCTCTACCATACGAATCTCTATAAATCACCAAACCAACAACAAAACCCACTTCCATTTCGCACTCATCACCACCACATCTCCACCTTCGCTCTCAAACCACCTCAAACCCCGTACTAGCAGCTCTCTCCCGCCTCTTCCTCGTCAAAACACCTTCCTATTTCTCTAAACCAGCGAAAAGCGGCTCACACCTGCCCCATAAATCTCGAACGAACCGCCGACGAAACAATAGGACATAGAACTTTATTACACGCTTCGCGTCAGCGTGAATTCCGCTCGCGAGTTTCGCGCGCAGTTCATCGCGCGCAATTTGCAACGCGTAAGTGTAAATACTTGTTGCCAGACGGTTTGAACGTCGGGTAGACACTCGGGGCGCGTTATGATGTGTCTTTTCGCCTAACGAGCGTGGAAGAATGGGAACGCGAGTAAATCTGCTTTCGGAATTTAACGCTCGGAAATGGTGGTTTATGCGTTTCCGGGCGTCGTTAATGCGATCTTTACGGAGCGCTGGATGACCGGTCTTATAATAAGTCTTGCAAACGAGGCAGATGATTTTTGTGACCGAGGGCTACGTCTGAATTTTCGAATAACTTTCAATCAGCCTGGAATATGCACGGACTGATTTATCTGGCTGTTAACGGTATATAATGATGGAGTACTCGCTGCAATTGTGCGTTATAGTTACAGTTCGTGGCACGCTGAATTATAATTGGAAACGAACTAGACGAGACTAGGCGCTGCTATTCTTGGAAAGCACGAGGAAGAATTCTAGATTATTTTTCTTTCGGTTGTATTCTATAACGGTACTGAAACTTCTCTCCTTTTATTTCTTTTTTTCTTTTTATTCCTATGGTATTTTTAATTAAATAAATCTGATGGTGTTGGGCCCTCGTCTATTAGTGCATTACCTCGTGAAATTAAATTTATTCTTTGAAATTTAGAAATTCCTTCATTGTGCAATTAAAAATAGCAAAATTCTCAACCACGCAATGAGAAGCAGAAAAATTCTTTGAAATTGGTAGAAAAAATTTTGAATTGTAGAACTAAAAGTAGAATTTTTAATTACGAAATAAGGAGGGAAACATTCTTCACTGTGAAATTAAAAATAGAAAAATTCTCAATCCCAGAATAAAAAAGAAATTCTTAATTATAGAATAAGAAAAAAAATGATTAATTTTAGAATTAGAAAAAAGTGAAAATTTAATTACAGAAATAGTAATATTTTATTACAAAATTCGCTGTAAAAATCAATTCAAAAAATCCAAGACAAATTTGAGACTTATATGCACCCTTCCTTTTACATTTTTCGTAATGAAATAAATTACCCATAAATGCATACCTGTTTATGGGAATCTTACCACGAAGAAACGAATCTTATCAACTGCTCCAATCCCATAATCGCTAATTTTTGTACTAATTCCGTAACCCATAAACCCTCGATTTAAACCATGTCCGATGTCAAGCGACTTCGAAAGGAGCCTCGGCATCTCTGATCCCCCAATTACAAACTCCCATAATTAATTCCGTAACCGGGGATAATTCCCCTTGAAATAAAACCGAAACTCCGATCCAAAACCGACAAACCGCACCAACACGTTCCAAACCTGCCCGGACCATCCACGAATTCCTAATACCCCGTATCAAACCACAAGCACCTAACTTCCCATAATTAATTACCCTCTGTCTAACTACAAACGCCTAATGCCCGGCATCGGGGGAACAAGCAACCGGGACCCTCGACACGAACCGAAGCAACGCACGAAACACCCCCCCCCCCCCCCAAAGAAAGAAACAAAAAAGAAAAAACAAAAGAATTTGGAAATAAAAAAATAAAAAAATAAAAAACGAGGGAAAAACATGGAGCGAGCCCAACACGCTCGCGAAATTATTCGGGAACGATCGACAAAAGCGTCAGCGGCCAGGCTGGATCCTAATAGATAGAGGTGTTTAAGAGTAACCATAAGACCGGTTTACAAGGGTTCCCATAAAGTAGTGTCATTGAATAGAAAATTTTTCTTTCCTTCTTCTTCTTCTTCTTCTTCTTCTTCTCTCGTCATGGCGTGTGGCGAATCGTCATAAATCCGATCGAAACCGTCGGGACAGTTTATGGAGTACTATGGGGTGCACGGTGACATCGCCATAAGGTATAATAGGTAGTGTTCGTCGGCTTTGGGCTAGAGGAACACATGGCCATGTCAGGGCTGAATTTCGAGCGCCAGAACACGTCCGGTGTGCATCCTCGCGCTCGACCCCATAGATCAGCGCGGTGCACCATAACCAGCTCGCTCTGGAGAGTCAGATTAGGGCTGGGAACGTGTCGCGGAACGATTCAGAGGGAACGTGTTCTGGAGTGGATTGATTTTTTATGTAATTTGTTAAAAATAGCGTGACGGGGATGCGTGGATGCGTTTAGGGGATTGCTCGAATTTTTCAGCGGATGTTTAATGGTTTGATAGTCTAATATACGTATACAATACTCAAGTATTTGATATTTTTCTGATTTTTCGTGATTCTAGAGAGAGTAGATTATTTTTGCTTTCTTTTAGTCGAGGAAAATTTACTTTCCATGGAACGGGGGTGTGCTGGTGTGTATATGGGCTTTTCTGATTTTTGGTTGTACGTTTGGGGCAATAAAAAATTAATCAAATAATCCGTAAATAATTAGTACATAATTCGTAAAAATTAATTAAATAAAATTTAATTTCGTAAAAATTAATTGATTAATTTTCCATGAAATGGGGGTGTGTTTGGTATGTATATGGGATTTTCTGATTTTTGTGTGTACGTTTCGGGCAATAAAAAATTAATCAAATAATCCGCAAATAATTAGTACATAATTCGTAAAAATTAATTAAATAAAATTAATTTAATTTCGCAAAAATTAATTGATTAATCGCCCCCCGAAATGTGTGGATGTGTAAATGGAACCTTTTTCATTTTTGGGTATACGTTTTATGTAATAAAAAAATTAACCAAATAGTAAATAATTCGTAAACATTAATGAAACAAAATTTATCAAATAATTAGAAGATAGTTAATAAGAATTAATTCGCTAAAATTTATTATATGGTAAATAATTCGTAAAAACGAATCGATTGGAGTAATAAAATAATTGGGAGGCATAAAAATAAAGATATTGTCATTGGATGTTGCAGAAAGTCACCCATGTCGCGCCACTAGTTGTCCGAGCCTGTTGTCGAAGAAGTCGGGATGGAGATCGTGAAATGTCTCATCGTTGGAATACTCCTGATGCTGGAGATCGATCGAAGTGCCCAAGGACAGCTGGTTCGACTAGGTGAGAACTCATAATCGCGTTGGCTCGTACACGATTCAGCCGTGTAACATGGCACGAGCGGATTTTTCTAATGGCTTAACACAGATTTTATCTAACATTATACCCTCGCACGCGTATTTCACTTCGTTCGAGGATTTATACGCCTCGAAATCTTTTACGTACGCTAATATACGATATGCAAATAAGTAACAGAGATATAAACGACTCGCGGCACTCGAGACGAATTGCAAATTCATTGGGATAAACGGAGGAGGACTGGCGCAAAAGTTAATTGAATCACCGACTATGCGTGTGATGTTCTGCGGATCATTTTTTTCCTGACAAGAAGTCGCATAAATAAGAGCGAAAGTTGGAACGATTGAAATAAAAATAGGAAATTTCTCTTGAAGCAAGTTGGCTCTAAAGAAAATTTCTATAGCAACTTGGACAACGAAATAAAAATATGAAAATTCTCTTGAAGCAAGTTGGCTCTAAAGAAAATTTCTATACCAACGTGGAAAACGAAATAAAAATAGGAAAATTCTCTTGAAGCAAGTTGGCTCTAAAGAAAATTTCTATAGCAACTTGAAAGACGAAATAAAAATAGGAAAATTCTCTTGAAGCAAGTTGGCTCTAAAGAAAATTTCTATAGCAACTTGGAAAACGAAATAAAAATAGGAAAATTCTCTTGAAGCAAGTTGACTCTAACGAAAATTTCTATAGCAACTTGAAAGACGAAATAAAAATAGGGAAATCTTCTCAAGGCAAGTTACCTCTAAAAGATTTCTATAGCAACTTGAAAAACGAAATAAAAATAGGAAAATTTTCTGGCAGCAAATTGGCTCGAAAAAGAATTTCTATAGCAACTTGAAAAATGAAATAAAGATAGGAAAAGGCTCTCTAAACAACATAAAAATAGGAAAATCCTCTCGAAGCAAATTAATTCTAAAAAATATTTCTATAGCAACTTAAAAAACAAAATAAAAGTAGGAAAATCCTCTCGAAACAAGTTGGCCCCAAAAAATATTTCTATAGCAACCTAAAGACAGAAACAAAAATAGGAAAATTCTCTTGGAATAAATAGAACGAAGATAGAATGAAAAGTATTTGATTTGAAAATATTCCTATACCAACCCCCACTCTCTCAAAAAAAAAAAGAAAAAAATTGAAAAGAAGGAAATGATAAGTGAAAAATTGGGGGAAAATTATTCCAATCGATCACTCGAGGGCACGATTAAAAAATCGCATGGTAGACGGTGGTACAACGACCTCGCGAAGAATTTCTATTTCGGGAAGAGGTCGGTAAAGGAAGGAAAAAGCGCGAAAAGTAAAGCACGAAGTGAAAAATTGGCGGAATCGCGTGGATAGCGATCGTCGTCGCGATAGCAAGTAGGATGAAAGCGAAAAAACGCTAAAAATACACGGAAACTGACGCGGAGGATCCGTTTTAGATGGCGTCGCGATTAAGTATAGCGTTCGAACGTTTACTTTCCTCCCCGTCCTCCTCCTCCTCTCTTCGTCGCCACCTAAATTTCTCCACCTTCCTTCGATTCCCCTCTAAACGTGCAGAAAATTCGCAAAAACATCTGAGGGCTGCTGAAACAAATTCTCCGACGCTTCCTTCCAAGCGTTCCTTTGAAAATTTCTCCATGGGGTCCTCGTAAGATTTCTGGGGAGAAATTTCTTCGTCTACTGACAAACACTTCTCAGAGGACGAATAAAAGTATGGTGAAAAAGATTTGGAGAAAGTTTCTTGATATCTTCTATCGGTAATTCTTTTTCGAAAATTTACTGTGAAAATATCTCGCGATATATTTATTCGAAACTTCTTCAGAGTTTCTTCAACCCCCTTTACGTGTTCAGAAAGTGTATGAAAATGTGTGTAAAAATATGTGAAAATGTGTGAAAGGGGACAAAAAGAAATTTTGTAATATTTTCTTCGATGTCTTTTTTTTTTTAATTTAGTATCGGAAGGGGATGATTCGAGAATACTTAACAAATTCTCCAACACCCCCTTCAAAAATTCGTAAATTTACGATGAAAACGTTCCAAGAACAAAAAGAAAATAAAAATGGCGGGAAAAATTGAAGTAACAGACTATATTTGAAATTTGAAAAAAGTCGAAGGGGAAAATTCGAAAACAATAAATTCTCCAACAAAAGAAAAGAAAAATGGCGGGAAAAAGTAAAGAGATCATACTTGAAATTTGAAAAAAAAGTCGAAGGGGAAGATTCGAGAATAATAAACAAATTCTCCAACATCTCCTACGAAAATTTTTATTTACGATGTAATTGTATTTTAAATAAATTTACGACGAAAATGACTCAAGAAAAATGGCGGGAAAAATTAAAGTAACGGACTATGCGAGAAATTTGAACGAAAGGTCGAAGGGAAGGTCGAAGGGGAAGATTCGAGAATAATAAAAGATGACGGGTCTCGATCGTAAGAAAGTCTAACGTACAGCTTACCAAGCGGAGGGTATTTTTAATTTCGTTCCTTCGAGAGGAAACGTGTTATTTCTTTTTTCAAGCTTCGAAGGAGGATGGAAGGAAATATGGCGCAGAATGTCGTGGAAAAGCCGTGGCAGCTCGGATTGTTGCTGATTTACGGAATGCCAGGCTCTCGCGCGAGTTTTGAGGTATTTTCGTGGCGTAGTTGCGTGGACGAAGCAAATAAATATGGCGGTATCGGATTATTTCTTTGATGAGGATGTTTATGCGAGACGTGCCGTTGAATCAGAGTGTTAACAACGAGATCTCATATTCGACATCGAAGACAGCGATATGAAGCGCGAATTTGCTACTTCGGCAATATAAACTGGCGCGAAATTCAAAGAGACAAATGGCTGCTTGTCGTCCATTGTCTTCCAATTTTAACCGGGAAATTTAAACTGTAAAATTGGAATTTTTATGTTTTAACAATCGAATTTGTATCTATTCACTTTTATAGTCATTTCCAATTCTAAATTATCAAATTTGGGAACTTCTATACTGGACTTTTTAAACTAGAAAATTTTCTATTTTAATTTTTAAATTCGAAGATGTTTATATTTAAATTTTCCAATTCGAATAATCCAATTTGAATTTTTTTACTTTTATCGTTAAATGTCTAAGGTTATAAATTTTTGAAAATTTGTATATTTGAATATTTTAATCTCTTTAACCCTGGAAACTTTTATATCGAATTTTTTAAATTAGGCTGAGTTTGAGTTATTGTATATTTAAATTTAAAAATTCGAATTTAAATTCCCCCGATTTTTCTAAATGCTAAAGAAGAAAATTTTATTTCTTTTCAAAAAATAATAGGAGATACAAATTATTATTATTTAAGAATATCACGAGAATCTTTCTACGTCTGCCAGAAATTTTTTCGATCGTTGGAACACGGTGAGAATCGACGTGTGATGGCATGTGCTACGTGGTGGAATTTTGAGTAATCGACACGTCGCAACCGAACCCATAAACGGCTCTTTGTTCATCTTCGATCTTGGCCCTTTTCCAGTCACGTAACTTCTCACCCATGCCAAGCATCAATGTTACAATTTAATTGGTCCATCTGTTTCCTACAACTACCCCTATAGAACTTATTTTCCTTTCTTTTATTAATTTAACACCCTATGACTTGAATTTCGTTCATTTATGGGAAGAAAAGAAAATTGTACTAATTGATATACCCTATTTCACTTTTAAATTAGCATACAATAATAACAAATAAATAAATGAAATAAAATAAAATAGGACAAAATAAAATTAAATTGCTACTTTTAAATGAGTACATAATAATAATAACAAACGAATAAATAAAATTCAACCAAATGAAATAAAATAAAATAAGATGAAATTAAATAACAACATGAAATGAAATAAAATAAAATAGGATAAAATAAACTGAAATTAAAGAAAATAAAAGAAGACTTAAAAAATAAAAATAAGTGGATACACAATTTCTAAGTTATAGGGGGTTAATCTAGCAATCAAACACGATAGTAAGGTGATAAGTGAGTGAAAGAAGATACAGGAAATATAGGCATATGGATGTGAGCTATTTAAATTAGCATTTTCCGGGGTTAAAAGAACAAAGAACAAGTTTGAAGGTTGGGAATCGAAATGGTTCGAAGGTTCTGAAGCTTCGGTGGGTCAGATGAGTCTGTGACGGCTAGACAGACGATTCATGAGCGAATCGAGTATTTTTAAAGCGTGTACAAAGGGGACAGAGGGCAGACAGAAATAAAAGAGAAAGTCTTTTCGAAAAGACCACTGAGAAATTCCATTTACGTGCTATGGGGAACCTACGAAAATTTCCTGTTTTTGGAAAGTACTCCGCGATACCTATGATCGACCAAGAAATTATAAAAATACCCTTTTCGCACATTTTCCTTTAACAAATATCATATAAGAACTTGGAAAAATTCAAGAAAAATTTCAAAACTGTCTTAGACCTATAATTTTGAACACAGCAATTTTACACTCACGGACAAATATTATTATAGTAAATTCGGTTTGAAAGATACCATAATAAAATAATAATAACATGACCTGTTAAAGTTACAAATACATTCTAAAACCAATTTTCAAAATTGAAAGTGTTAATTTTAGAATAAGCTTTTAAAGTAATATAGGTGATCAAAATAAGAAACAAATCCGAAATTAAATAAAAATTCAATGAAATAGAAAATTAAATAGAAATTCTGCGAAATAGGAAATTAAATAAAAATTCAATAATTAGAAAATTAAGTAGAAATACGGTGAAATAGGAAATGAAATAAAAATTCAATAAATAGAAAATTAAGTAGAAATTCTGTGAAATAAGAAATTAAATAAAAATTATGGAATAGGAAACTAAATAAAAGTTCAATGAAATAGAAAATTAAGTAGGAAATCTGTGAAATAGGAAATTAAATAAAAATTCAATAAATAGAAAATTAAGTAGAAATTCTGTGAAATAGGAAATTAACACTTTGCACTCGAGAGGCCTCTCAATCGCCATTTAATCACATTCTAAAGATCGATGTTAATTAATAT